ACAAGTCACTCGGGGGAAGGCCTAGGGTGCCTCATTCTGTATGGAGCACAATAGAGCAGGCAGAGGGCCCAGACCAAAAACCCAACTCCCCGCTAGTTTGTGGCACAAGATGTATTACTCAGACTTGGCGTGGATGGGAGGGGATTTTTCTTATCAGGGGGGTCAAGGAGGAACCGTGGGAGAGCGCATTAGCTCTTTAGCACGCAGCAGACGAGTTATCTTGTGGAAGATAGAGGATAATGATACATGTACCCAGCGCCTGATAGTTTTGCAATTATTTGAAAAGTAAAAAGTACGGTGGAAGCATCGTCCCTGGCTCAGGTGAGAGCACCCGCTGGTGAGTCACCAGCACAGTGAGCGATAGCTGTGGGAAGATTGTCAGTCTCCAGGGTCCCTGCTATTATTTGCTTTTCTTCTGCATCACTAAGCCGCGGTAGCAGCTTGGGATCCTGCACAGCCGTCCCAATAAGAACTGGACGAAGACACCCTGGAATCTGGAAAGTCGGAGGGGTAGCTGCGTTCGTCTGTATCTGCAAAAACAATCAGGAGTCCTGGGGCACCTTAGAGAAACTCAGACTGATGAGGGCAGATGATTTTGTGGGAAAACCCACTTCGTCAGATGCTCTGGAGCGGAGCTTACGGAGGCAGGGGTGTATAACTAAGATCAACAAAAGAAAAGAGGGCACCTGTGTAAACGTAGGCATGGAGACCCGATTTCTCAACAGAAGAGGCTCAGACTCTTGGTGAGCAAACCTCACTCCAAAATTACGATCTGGTTCTGCATTAAGCAAACCCAAGGGAGCTGTAAAATCAGGCCTAAAACCCCCTAATAATTAGGGGGAATGCATTAAGCAAGATGTGTTTTTTAAAACAACACATTTGGATTTCTTTCCATTAGCTTTTCGAATACACTCAATCGCACTTCCCAGCTGCTCTCTGCAATCACATGTTAGAAACTTTCTTTCTTTTTCAATTGTTACTCAATCGCACTTCCCAGCTGCTCTCTGCAGTCACACTTTCTTTCTTTTTCAATTGGTGTATGCAGTGTTGTAGCTGTGTCGGTCCCAGGATATGAGACCCACAAGCGGGGCGGGGGGAGGTAACCATATCTTTTCATTGGACCAACTTCTGTTGGTGAGAGAAACAAGCTTTTGACAGGACGCAGAACTTTTCTTCAGGTGTAAGCTCGAAAGTTCGTCTCTCTTACCACCAGAAAATAGCCCAATTAAAAAAAAAAAGATACTCCTTCACCTGCCGTGCCTATTTAAATGAGAGCTGAGAGTCTAATCACCTGACTCGAGAAGCTGGGGCTTTAAGAAAAGCACTAAAGATCGGGAGACTCATGGGAGCCGGCCACGCTGCAGCTTGATACCACTGGCAAGAATACAAAGACAAAAGAGGAACTTTTGCCACCAGTGAAAGTGCAGGAAAGTAAATTCTGTTACATAACCCCAAAATATTTCTAGGGAAGCCAATTGAGGGCACTTACAAAAGATGACCATTTCCCTTTAACACTTTAGTGGCTGGATCCAACACACCCTTCAGTGGAAACCTCTGACTCCGTCTTGGCTTCCCTGTTTACGGTTGCAAGGGATGCTTAAAGCTTTGGGTTGCTGTGACATCATTCTTCCCCCCGGAGAAGCAAAGGGGGAAATGGCCAGGCAGGGGCACAGCTGCATAGCTTGTGGCTCACACCACCGCACAGACCAGGGTTTCTTAAACTGTTTTCTGTGGCACACCGGTGTGCCGTGAGGCAGTTGGAGGTGTGCCGCAGAGAACAACAGAATTCAAAATGGCCACCCTTAAAGGGGCAGGCAACTTTTTTTTTGGCTCAATAACTTTCCCCTGACCCTTCCCCCCCCCCAATAACTTCCCCCTCTCCCCCCCGACCTTTTTTTTTTTTTTTTTTTTTGCTGCTCAACAAAAAAATCCTTGGTGTTTCTCAAAAATAATTATTGTTTAGTGTTCCTCGGACTTGAAAAGTTTAAGAAACACTGGCGTAGACTCTCCCCTGCACTAACTTGGGGAAGCATTTCACACACACTAGTTGCAGCACCACAAGTCACTCCAAAGCCAGGCCTCCATTTAGGCGGCTTTGGTTGAACAGCTAGACCCGCATGTTACGGAGGCAAAGGACACTTCCTAGGGGCACTGATTATACCAGCTACACTCCCTTACGCCAGTCCCCCCGCAAGCAAAATACACTCTACCCCCGCATGTCTACACCAAGGGCTGGCCCAGCGTGGTCAGGGCCACGCTTCTTCCCATCCCTGACTCGCATCGCTGCCACAGCTGCAGTTTGCCGTGTAGACACAGCTTCGGGTCGCTCAGTTTCCAGACTGGCTAGTGCATGAGGGGGCTTGTCACCATGTGGGATAACTTGACTGTCGGTTAACTCCAGGCGGTTAACGCTTTTGCAAAGGCTGGGGATGTGAAATCCCGGTTAATCAGGTAAGCCTTATGTGATCCCTCCCCTGTCACTCATTTCCAGACAGAGGCCACAGGACACCATTCCTACCCATCCTGGCTAATAGCCATTGATGGACCTAACCTCCATGAATCTATCTAGCTCTTTTTCAAACCCTGTTAAAGTCCTAGTCTTCACCACATCCTCTGGCAAGGAGTTCCACAGATTGACTGTGCGCTGAGTGAAGAAAAACTTCCTTATGTTTCTTTAAAGCCTTCTGCCTATTCATTTCATTTGGTGACCCCTAGTTCTTATATTGTGAGAATAACTAAATAACTTTTCCTTATTCACTTTTTCCACACCAGTCATGATCATATCCGCCCTTAGTCTCCTCTTTTCTAAGCTGAAAAGTCCAAGTCTTTTTAATCTCTCTTCCTATGGGACCCGTTCCAAACCTCTCATCATTTTTGTTGCCCTTTTCTGAACCTTTTCCAATGCCAAGAGATCTTTTTTGACATGAGGCGACCAACAGTTGAACACAGCATTCAAGATGCGGGCACACCATGGTTTTATATAGAGACAAGAAGATAGTTTCTGTCTTATTCTCTATTCCTTTTTTAATGATTCCTAACATTGTTTGCTTTGTTGACTGCTGCTGCACACTGAGGCTACGTCTGCGATGAAGGCTTTTTGCGGAAGAAGCTTTTTGTGGAAGAGATCTTCTGCAAAAAACTTCTTGTGCAAAAGTGCATCCACACCTCAAAAGCACATCGCAAAAGCAATGCACTTTTGCACAAGAGAGCATCCACACTGCATGGACACTCTTGCACAAGAAAGCCCCGATAGCCAGTCACAGAATGGCCATCAGAGCATCTGTGCTTTTTCAGATAGGCTCTTTTTGCCCAAGAAACCCCTGCAGAGCATCCACACACATCTTTTTGCACTAGAACTCTTGTGCAAACAGGAGTTATACCTCACAGAAAGCGGTATACCTACACGGCAAAAAGCCCTCTGTTCTGCTGTTCTACTGTACATTTTCTTCCGCAAAAACACGCTTGAGGTGTGGACGCTCCGTGGATTTTTGTGCAAAAATCCTGTAGTGTAGCTATAGCCTGAATCGATGTTTTCAGGGAACTATCCACAATAACTCCAAGATCTCTCTCGAGTAGTTATAGCCAAATTAGTCTCCATCATATTGTATGTCCAGTTGGGATTATGTTTTCCAATGTGCATTACTTTACATTTATCAACATTAAATTTCATTTGCCATTTTGTTGCCTAATCCCTTAGTTTGGCGAGATCTTTTTGAAGCTCTTCAGTCTGCTTTGGTCTTAACTTTCTTGTGCAGTTTGGTATCACCTAAAAATTTTGCCACCTCGCTGTTTACCCCTTTCTCTAGATCATTTATAAATAAGTTGAATAGGATGGGTCCCAGAATAGACCCTTGGGGGACCCCACTAGTTACTTCTCTCCACTCTGAAAACTGACCATTTATTACTACCCTATGTTTCCTGACTTTTAACCACTTATCAATCCATGAAAGGACTTTCCCTGTTATCCCATAACAACTTACTTTACCCCTGCTCTAAGAGATGAGCAACCAGGTGACGATCCACTGCGAAGGGCCTTGAAAGTTAAAACTTAAAAGCATTAACTCTCCAACCTCTTTCCTTTGCTAATGGAACCCAGCGACGGCCTGTCAGCATCACCCCCAGTTTCCAAAATCACAGCAAAGGCACGAAACTGCTCTGCTTCTCAGATTTGACACGTGTTTCTCCCACTAAGTGTATTTGACATCACAGCTAAATTGCGCTAAAATGTCCTGGTGCAAACAGTGCTGGGGTGGGTGGGAGGGGAATGCTCTAACTAAAAGGTGTTTAGAGTCAATTTAACCCTTTGGAGGGGAGGGAGGGTGGCTTAACACCTGGCATGTATAGCTCCTTAACAATATTAACTTACCCAACACGTAAAAACCACGTGCATCTCAGGAGATGCCTTTCGACTTCTGAAAACAATGTCAGTAAGACAGGCACTGCCATGCTGGTCCATCTAACCCAGCATCCTCCCTCCATAAGTGGTCAGCACCAGTTGCTTCAGAGGAAGGTGCAAGACCTGTGGCAGTTGTGGGATATTTTGCCTTCATATGAAGTTTCATCCTGAGTTTTAGCAGATAAAGATTGGTTTGAGTCCTGAACCATTTCCTCCAGAATGCTTGTTGGCAGGAACTCTAGGGATACGGAGAATATTCAACGTTGCACATCCAATCCCTTTTTTAATCTTGCCAAGTTTCTGGCCTCAACATCCTGTGGCAGGGAGTTCCACAGTTCAATCACACAGTATGTGAAAATATTTATTTGTATCAGTTTTGAATATCTCCCCTTTTAATTCCATTGATTGTCCCTTTGTTCTGGCACTACAGGACAGGGAAAAGAGAGGTTCTTCTCTTGGCTATTTATTGCTTTACAGACTTTTCTCATGTCCCCTCTGCTTTTCATAATAGTACTCTGAATAATCTTGCTCTCTCTTTAAATGCACCCTATGGAGAAGGAGTGCTCTTACCAGAGATATGCTCGCGGAGACAAAAATAAAAGCAATTATTATAAATAACTTTATTATACTAGAAAACGCCCTTCCTGTTTTACATTCCAGCAGGTATTTGAGACATGATATAAACAGTCACTGTGATTAACAAATAGGAACACTCATGAACAATTCATCTCACCTTGAGATTATCTTAGAGTGGGTCTCTTATCTCTATTGAAAAAAACACCTCTTTCAAGAGGTGCCAGGTGGCTAGGATTGAGAGGTGTACAAGATAAACAGGATTCAAGATTCTGCTCAGGAATTTTCTTCCCCCAGAGAGATTTAGAGACAGAAAGGGTAACAGAGATGGTACAGGAGGCCTAAGGAGAGCTCCTGATGGATTTAGACTGTCCATTTCTCTGTGCGTGCCTCTACTGACCGCACCAGACCTTCTCCCAGGCTTGCAAAGTCTTCCAGGATGGCTTCCACGTTGGGAACGGTGACTAGTTCCTCCCTTAGACTTGTCGTCATTCTTCCTTTCATGTTGGAGGCCTGCAACACACATGCATGGGTTGGGCTGACGCTGGCATTTTGTGCCCAGCAATGCTGCATTCTTCTCCGGATGCAACCCCTACTCACTCCCCCACTAGAGCCGCGAGCCCCGCATGACGGGGAAATGCCACCAGCGTCCAAGCTATCTGGTCCCACCCCAGCTCAGCCAATCCTGCCCCTCGCGCTCGCCCCAGGTTCACTTTTAAGAGCTCCCATTACGGTCAAGCGAGTTGCAAAATACACAGAGTAAGCCAGAGGGCTGCAAGAGCATCCCCTTCAGAGCACAGACAATCAAGCAACCCTTGAGGATACCCAGGGGGCAAGATCCAATCACAACTGCCCCTTACTCATGCTTGCTGGACACTGGGAAAAATGAATGATTGACGATCTTGGGAGGTGAGGATGCACTGGGGCAAAGTGTCTGAGCTGCCTTTGCTTTGAGCGGTTACCAGGGTTAAGCACCGGACCCTGCAAGCTGCTGTTAGCATGGAATTCCATGGACCTTCACAGAGCTATTCCCACGTGCAAAGCCAGGCGTGGGCACGGGGAGCGGCTCGTTTCACCGCAGCCACGCGGCTGGGTAGCGAGTGCCCCGGGCGCAGAGAGAGGAGCTACACATCATCCTACGGCGTGAGAGGGACGGCAGACCAGCCAGGGTTGCCGGCAGGACTGAGGGCACATTCATCACCAGTTTCTCTGCGTCTTTGAGGAGTTCCTCAGGCATGAATCACGCTCACGCCTGTGCGGCAGACCCAATCCCCCAGGGACTCTGCAAGCTACGCCCTGTTGCGGAATAGCTTTGCACTGAACAGCGTGGCACAAACCCACCGTGGGCTCTGGCATTCTCATGCCTGCCGTCCTGGACACATACTTAGTGTACAGACTGCCAGCGTGTCTGAAAAATCCAGCCCGGGGGTGTCATGCTGGGCACCCCAAACACAGGCTTCGTTTGAAAAAAAAATCGGGCTCTTTGCCTCGGTTTCCCTACCTGTCAATAGAAACAGTGCTCGTCTACTCTCCAGGAGGGCAGTGGAGGAGGTCAGTGTTAGTGCTGGTCAAACAATATGTGTGGTAATGCATAGCGGATAGAGAACAGGACTGGAACTCAGGAGACCTGGGGTTGTGCTCCCAACTCTGCCACTGACTGGGTGGCCTTGGGCAAGTCACTTTGCCTCTCCGTGCCTCAGTTTCCCCAAGTGTCAGATGACATACTGACCACCTTTGTAAAGCATTTGGAGATCTGCTCTGTCGGACTAGGTGACACGAGGGTTGCTACAGTCCTTTCCTGGCTCCCTAGAACACCAGAACAAGAAACTAAAAGCAGAGGCTCAAAACACTCACCTTGAAAGGCTGGGGCTTGAAGCTTGAGGGTTTCCACAAAACTCCGATCACCTCCCCGCCATGCAAGTCATAGAAGAACAAAGCCAGGTCTCCAAAGGCCTCCTGGAAGAGGATTTGAAAGGGAGTCACGTCAGGGGTGGCTTCCCAAGGGAGACTAGCTCACAATGAACGAGGAGCCAATGAGGGACTCCAACCCATCCCACAGCATCGCCTCGAAACAAGGTCTCATCTCCCGCTCACGGGGCTGGACACAGATGGAGCAGGTTGCACATGACGTAGAGAGGCGCAGGCCACAGAGAGTCCGGTTCCCAGCATGCAGTGCTCCCCTTGATCGGCAGGAGGACCAAATTGCAGACCCCTGTGCAGTGACATGCACAGCCTGCCTTGCTACGAAGTTTCTGCCCCCAAGAGGCTAACTCCTCTCTCTGGGCGGCAGGTTGCTCTGGAAAGAGGGCCAAGGAAGCCGGCTCTCAGAGATTTGAGCACCAAAAATCACAAAGCTCCTCCCCCACGGCCGAGCACCACGCAACTGCTCCAGGCGTGCTGCCCTGAAACGGAAACACCGGCACAAGGGACGAGTCTTCCCCGTAAAGCCACACCCGGGGTCGTGGTAACGGGACAGCTCAGTCTCCTGGCCAACGTTTGCCATTGCAACTGCAGGGGCTTGCTCCCACGGCTTGAATCGACACCGACCGGCCCCAGCCTCTCCTCCCCCAGGGGCCTGCCAGAAGGGAACGTTTGCTGCTGAAGATGAATAACCCACCCCCCAGGCTTGTAGGCCTTGTGCCCACATGACCCGGCTCCCAGTGCAGCAGGCCTGGGGGAGGGAGGAGGTTTGACGACCGAGCTAAGTAACCAACTTCACGCGTGGGTCTCCCGCAGGGGCGTCCAACCCGGTTAGGCATAAGATCACTTCTTGAATGTAAGTGCAATCCAGGATCTACCTCAGACCCAAACATCTGGCCCCGCCTCCTTCCCGCCCCTTCTCTGAGGCCCCGCCCCTGCTCACTCCGTCCTCCCTCCCTTTCACCAGGCAGGGGCAGAGAGCTGGCGGACAGGCTCTGGTCTTGGAGTGTGAGGGGGGGCTCTGAACTGCGCCTGGGGCAGGGCTTGGGGTGCAGGAGGGGGGTTCAGGCTCTGTCAGGGAGTCTGGGTCCAGAGGGTTCAGGGCTGGGGTGCAGGAGGGGGGGATCTTGACAGGGGCAGATGTTCAGAGCTGGCTCCAGCTGGGCGTTGCTTACATCAGGCAGCTCCTGGGTGGTGGTGCTATGGAGTAAGGCAGGCTCATCCCTGGTCCTGGCCCGCTCCCAAAAGCAGCCCACAAATTCCCTCCAACCCAAGTCCTGTTGTGCCCCCCCCCCATCTGTTCTGTGAAGATAGGGTACAGGGTGGGGGAGGGAGCACCCGCACATCAGTGCCCCCTCCTCTCCCTTCCATGCCCTGCCTAGCAAGCAGGAGGCGGGGGGGGAGGGGGGGTAAGGAGGGAAGGAGGCAGCGGCAGGGCAAAGGGCAGGCGGAAGGGCAGCTGAAGTGCTGCACTTGATAGCAGCCTCCTGGCCAAGCCAGTCAGGATCCCCTGTCACAGACTCCAAGAGCTACCACTGCTCTACCGGAACGTGCATCTCTCGACACTGGGAACAGGGCTCCGATCTCACAGCCAGGCAAAGCTCGGGGAGGAACGTACTAGGACTGTACTTCTGGGAGCAGCTGCCAGGAACAGACGCCAAGGCCCAAAAGCGCCACTCCTGTCAGGGCGCCTGACCTCCCGCATGACCGGAGCCAGGGACCCGCCCCACAACAAACTCCCCCCAGCGCCGACTGCTCCGAAAAACACCCAGTGGCAATGTTAAAACGGTCAGCGACGGAGAATCACCAGCAGCCCCGGTAAATCAGCCTGGTTGTTAACTGTGCTCCGAGTTATTCAGCGTCCAGCCAGGGATCACGTCCTTCTAGCCCTGCAGATGAAAGTCCGTCACTTCTCCACCGCTCCAACCTGGACAGCGGCGATCCAAGCTTCCCGCCCTACCCTGCTAAGGTGGCCTGTCAGGGGGCAGGGAGCCGGCGAGGGGTACAACGTAAGTCCGCGCCATCTCTGGTCACCTCTCTACTGAGACAGCCAACAGCGGGGGCATTTGCACGGTGAACACTCGCTATAAACTATCCCAAGGGCTCCGCTTCCTCGCTGCTTCCGCTGATCTGATACCCCCACGCACACCGCAGTAGGAACGGGCCCTAAGACGAGCTCCGCTGGCCGTCGCCGAACGGAGCTTGTCTGTGCAGGGGTGGGCGCAGCAGAGAGGAACGCGCCACAGTGGGAGGAGGTGCTGAACCAAGCTGCCGTCGCTGGCACTGGGGTTGAGTGGGTGGGGGCCCAGTGGCGTCTTTAAAAGGCAAGAGAAGATCAACAGGAGCGGCAGAGCCACTGGGGCCTGGAAGGCGGGGCTGTATATCAGAATGTGAAGTGGGGGGGGGGATTCAAAGAGGAGGGGGGCGTGCTTGGCTTAATGGGATAGAAGTGGACTGATATCTGCCAGCTCATCCCTTTGATGGCGGTTTCATTCAGGTGAGGCCAGTCAAGGGACATCTTGCCAAACAACCTTAATTAAAACAAAACAAAAAAAAACTACACACCACCACACACACACAAACAGTGTCCCCCTCCACCCCACCCCCCCCCCACAAAACTGACACCCCAA